CAGGAGGATCATTGCAAGTCTGAGACCAACTGGGCTACCAAGTGAGCTCAAGACCAGCTTAAACTGCACAGCAAGATCCTATCTCAAAAACACCAGGAAAAAAAAAAAAAAAGGCCATGAGTACGATGCTTCTCATAAAGTTCAAAATAGAGAAAACGAAAAAAAAAACCCTAAAAAACATATGCCAGGTGGGATGTAGGAAAACAGAAGGCAAGAACCTCAAACAACCCAAAACTCAAGGTGGAAGCTGCTTCTAAAATCAAGCCTGGGAAAGGGCCAGTGGAGAAGGAAGAGTGGCCATGGTAGCGTTGGCAGCGATCGACTTTTAGCTGGGCCCTGCATCCTGGCTGTGGTGGTGTTCATGGATAATGTATTATTGTCTTCCCCAGCTTGGATATATATTATATATACTTTTATTTTTTTATTTTTATTTTTTTTTAACATTTATTTAGTGTGTGTGTGTGTGTGTGTGTGTGTGTGTGTGTGTGGCCAGCTCAGCCCACCAGGGGGCACGGCTGGCTGGCATGTGGTGCTGGGGGATCGAACCGCGGTCCCTGTGCTTTGCTTAGCTTAGTTTGTTCCAAGTAGGTGCTTTAGACCACTGAGCCATCTCTCCAGCCCTATATATACTTTTAAACAGCTATAAATAGATTAATTTTTCAAGTATAATTAAATACATAAAACTATACTTTTTTGGGGGGAGGGTTCCCTTTGAGACAGGGCCTCACTATGCAGTTCAGGCTGACCTTGAACTCACTTTGTAGCCCAAGCGGCTCTTGAACTCATGGTGATCCTCTTGCCACAGCCTCCTGAATGCTATGATTATAGTGGCGCAAGGGAGATGGCTCAGTGGAATAAGCGCATCCCTGGCAAGCGCAAGGGCCTGAGTTCAATCCCCAGTTCCGCAAAAAAAAAGACAATAACCAGTAATCGGCTTCCTAACACTTCGGATTGGCTTGCATTTTCTAGAACGTCATAGAGAAAGGACCACTGTAACACGTACATTTTTGGTCTGGCTTTTTCACTCTGTGTAGTTATTTTGTTGCCTATACCAATAGTCCACTCCTTTTAATTGCTATGTGGAATTCCATCTCATGGTTATACTTCAACTTGTTTATCCATCTATGCACAACACAGGTATTTTCTCATGGGCTAACTGTTCAGGGAGAAAGAACAACCTTGCCTACAGCGGAGGGCTGAAGGAAGGGTGGGAAAAGTAGCGTGAGAAGAGGTAGCTGTTGCCATCCACCTGCCACAGAGGATGTGCTTGAGTGCATGTGACAGTGTTTAAAAGCAGCCTACAGGGCTGGGCATGGTAGTGCACACCTGTAATCCCAGCACTCAGGAAGCTAAGGCAAGAGGATCCCCGTGAGTTCAAGGCCAGCCTGGGCTACAAAGTGAGCTCTAGGCCAGCCTGAACCGCATAGCAAGAACCTGTCTGAAAAAGACAAAAGACCAAAAACAAAAACAGAAAAAAGAAAAGAAAAGTAGACTGTAGGGTGCAACTGACAACATCCAGGTCTCAGCACTTTTATTAACTAGCTCTGTATGACCTCGGTTATCCTGTCTGCGAAACAGGAATGCAAACCTAATTCACAGTCCTAAAGGGTGGGTCAGAGGAACTAATGAGTAGGAAACACTTAGCAGAGAGCCTGGCACATAGCAAGCGTTTAGTAAATGTTTGCCAGTGTCACTGTCATTTTAACAAGTGGGTAGATTAGAAGGGAAAAAAATGAGACCAATGAGTGTGCCAAGACCTGCTAATCCCAGGAGCCACAGTGTGGCCTGCACTGAGGTTGCGGGCAGGGGGCCGGGGTAGAAGGTCACACGGTCACCCTGAGGTAAGTCATCCCTGAGTGTCACCTAAAATACATTTTTAAATTTTCTCTATTTTGAAATTTATAATATTCATGTATATTTAAATGTTTAAAAAGGTCAATAAATGTATGTGCATATATATATATATATATATATACTATTTATAATATTAGATAGATAGATAGATTCCTTTCTTCTTTTCTCATTGCCCCCATACCAGTTGTTCTTTCCTTTCGAGCAGTTTCTTTCCCTTTCACGGTATCTACTGTACCCTTTAGGTCTTATTTACTCTGATTTCAGTTTCTTACACTAGTGAAGAGGAGGTTCTGGGTTCAAATCACAGTATTGTGAAAAATAAAATAAGAAGAGAAAAAGAGATACTGGGTAGAGCAAGATGAGCTTGAGTAAAAAGCTCGAAAGGAAACAGACCAGCGTGGGAGGATCTGGCCTGGGAAGGCAGAGTCGCCAGATAGAACAGAGCACGCTCGGGCGACTCTGAAGGTAGAAAACAACACACGACATTTTAGGACACCCATGCCTTGTTATCCAAAAGCACAAATCTTTTCTAAAATAGCCTAAGATTTGCATAGCACCTACCCGTATCCTGCTGCATTCCGTAAGTCACCTCTAGATCGCCTGTGACACCTGCTACAGTGTAAATACGATGTGAATGATTGTAACACTGTATTGTTTTAGAGATTTGTGACCAGAAAAAAAAGGCTATCCTAATGCAGTACAGATGCAGTTTGATCCCCCGCAAAATATTTTCTGTATGTAATTGACTAAGTCTGTAGATACAGAACCTACAGATACAGAAGGCTAGCTGTATGAGCATAACCTACATAATATTTGATAAAGAAAAAAAATTTTTGTCTTTTTGAGATAGGGTTTCACTATGCACTGCCAGCTGGCCTTAAACTTGCAGCGATCTTCCTGCCTCAGCCTCCTGAGTGCTGGGATTACAGGCATGCGCTAGGATACCTGGCCTATAATGAAAAAGTATGCACCTTCTATATAAAACCAGATGTAACTGGATAGGCTGAATTTTTATTTGTTAAATCTGGTCACCCCAGGCAGAAAGGGTGTGGGCTCCGTTATACAGAGAAGATGGGCTGGGACAGGCAGGGAGGGTGGCTCCTGTCCTTTCTGTGAGTGCGGTTTCCTGCTGAGTGTGGTGCGGAGGAAGGAGGCAGGTACAGAGGGCATGGCAGCCAGGTGGATTTAATGAAGTCCCCAAGAAGACCTATGGTTCAGCTTGGAGGGAAACAACAAAAGCAGGCTGCTCCAGAGGTTGCAGATGCAAGCTTCAGACAAGAAGAAAGCCGCTGGCTGCATCCATGTACACCTAGGGCTTTTCCAGCCCGGGCGGTGAAAGGCTAGGAGGCCAGGGGTCTGCTTTGTTGTAGCAAAACAGTTCTGAAACAAATGGGACGTGGAATCCACAGGGAACGAGGGGAAAGTGCGCGACAGAAGGAAGGGCTGGGAACGAGAACGGGGCTTAGCCTCAGCTCCACCCCAATCATGGCCTCAACAACCCTCAAAGACCTTCTCTATTGTTCCCTCTTCCCACAGACTGTAGGTGTTGGGGCTGGGGAGATGGCTCCGCAGAAAAAGCGCTTGCCTGGCAAGCACACGGTCCCGAGTTCAACCCCAGCACTGCATAAACAGAACAGAAACTGGAGGTGTTCACAGTTTCCCTTAAGACAGCGTCCTACGTACTGGGGACCCGGCCCTGCAGCGCGGGCGGGCGGGCTTACCCAGTTATTGGGCGGGACGGTCACGCCGTTTTCATGAGCACAGTCACGCCAGATGTAATAATCGGTGTATTTCCCAGTCCGTGTCCTACTCATTTCGAACCAAGGATGTTTATCGCTGGTGTGGTTTGGTATGAAATCAATTATTAATTTTAAACCTAGTGAGGAAAAACATTTCAAATGCTAGTAAAAGATTGGAGTACAGTAATACACCGCGGTGAAGGGAGAAATGCTGTAGCCGACATTTGGCGAACGCTGTTCTCACCTCTCCCCCTTCCTCCACATCCCGACTCACCCTTATCGTGGATGGCCGCGAGCAGGTTCTCGAAATCTTCCATTGTTCCAAAAATAGGATCAATTTCTCGGAAATCTTCGATGCCATATCTGAAATCTTTAAGGGATGATTTATAGAATGAAGTAATCCAAATAGTTTTTATATTTAAAGCAGCGATGTAGTCCAGTTTATCTTGAATACCTGAAGAAAAAAAAGCATAAATTAATTTTAGTTTGCTTTTATTTGAAAGATTAAAGATCAAATGGCTAGGCACGGTGGTGCGTGGTTGGAAATCCCAGCACTCCAAAGGCTGAGGCAGGAGGATCCCTGGGAGTTCAGTCAGCTTAATCTACACTTGAGCTCAAGGTCATCCTGTACAAAAGGGTGAGACCCTGCCTCAAAAATTAAACTAAGGGCCGGCCAGATAGCTCAGCAGACTAAAGCGCCTGCTTAGGTTGGATCCCTGGTGTGCCGCAGGATGTGAGTGAGACTGGGCATGGGGGCGCACACTTGCAATCCCAGAGCTGGGGAGGCTGAGACAGGACGATCACTATGAGTGTAAAATGCGTAGCGAGACCCTATACCAAATAATCAAGTAAATAAAACATTTTTTAAACAAAATTTTGTAAATGATTTGTTTTATTCTACTGGGGGAAGGAAGAGGATAAATGGAACTGTTTTCCAAACTATTCTCCATTCTGTATACATACTCACATCATACCTACACATTCATACACCCAAATTACTCTATTAAAACAAACAAACAGGGCCGGCCAAATAGCTCAGCGGATTAAAGCACCTGCAAGCATGCGCAGGAGCCAGGGGTTTGATCCCGGGCCTGCTGTGCCGCCCCCCCTCAAACTGAGATGGCAATTGAGACTGGGTGTGGTGGCACAAGTCTCTAATCCCAGTTCTTGGGAGGCTGTAAACAGACAGATCACAACAAGTCCAATCTAGTAGTGAGACCCTGAACATCCTGGACATCCTTCCCTAAAATACAAAACAATAACAACAACAAAAAAGCCGAGAATCAAAATCCCTTCACCCTCAAACTGTACCAATACTTTACATTTTGACCAAAAGAATAGATCCTGGCAGAAAGTGCGAAATCAAATGACTGAAAAAACAGCATTATTAATGTATAAAATATTAGGGCCAGCCGGATACTTCAGCGGATTAAAGCGCCTGCTCAGGCAGATGCTATGGCTGGGGTTCCATCCCCAGCGTGCCTGCCAGCCCCGCCCCGGGGTGTGCCGATATGGCGATTGAGACTGGGCGTGGTGGCGCGCCTGTAATCCCAGCATTTGGGATGCTACAGGAAGGATCTATGAGTGTGATGTGTGTAGTGAGACCCTGTACTAAATACATTTAAAAAGATTGATAGATAGATGGATAGATAATATTGTATTACTGAACTAGTAAGAGATGATGTTCTCTGTGTTGGTAAAACTTTGGAACCGCAGAGCTGATTTGTTAAATCTAGTCCATGCTAGCTTCCAAAACCCAAAAAAGCTTTAGCTGGCTTCATTTTTTGACGCTTCATCAAAATGTTCTACAAGATCGGGACGTGGTGGCCTTGCTCGCGCACGCCCTCGGGCTCCGGCGCTTTGCTGTCCACCGCTTGCCGAGGGAACTGCCCAGCCCACGTCCTGAGGCTGGGGGGCTTCGGCCCCACGCTGACTTAGTGCCCCCGGAAGCCCTTCTGGGGTGGGCTTGGCTGCTGCATGCCCCTAACCGCAGAGCTCTTAGCAGAGTGGGAAGCTCAGACTTGGAGATTGCTGAGACGGATTACTGTCCCTCCACCTTGAATCGTGGCCGCCTCTTCAATGCCTGCTACGTGGTTTTTTACAGCACTCGGAAACTTTTTGTCAACAGCCATAGCTGTTCTCCATACTGCCTTCTTTCTGCGAGCTGTACCCCTGCGCCCTATCAAATCCTGAGCCTGAAGTTTGGCTGACTCTTCTTGATTTCTTGCATGCTGTTGGAAGCTCTGAAGCAGGGAGGGTCCTCCACGCGGCAAGAGCAAGAAGGCTGCCTCGGCCAATAGGAAAAAATTTTTTCAAATGAGTATGTCATGCCAGGGAAATAGCTCCGAGGTATAAGCGCCCGCCTGCCAAGCGCAAGGTCCTGAGTGTGATCCCCAGTTCCAAAAAAAAAAGTTATTCCAGTGTTTGTATTGTTCAATCAACCTTAAATGCCTATATTTGGTAATCTGAGCAACTACTTTGAAGATAATATAAAAATGAATATGCCAAAGATCTAAGTATTTTCAAGACAAAACTATCTGGAATTTTGTTGAATTTGAGTAAAACACAAATACTAAGGTTTAGCTCTAAGAAAAAAAAAATAATTAGTCTGCCAGCAACAATCTTAGACCTTCAGCATAGATGCTTATAAAGAAAAATCTATTACTTATTCTAATTTTACTTCTTTCTGGTACCAGCAATCGAACTCAGGACCTTGCACTTGCCCGGCAGGTGTCGTTAAATTCCCAGCCCTAATTGTACATTTTAAACTGAGACTATGTAGAGTACTTTTGCTTTATGCTACACATGGTATAGAGATGGGTGCTGGGCTAGGGGCCAAGGAGAGACAAGTCACTGTCCCTGGTGGTCACACAGCTGGGACCACAGCCACTTGCCACACGTGCCTACTGAGCACAGGTAGTGTGACTGGTCCTGGCGCTGTTACTGTAAGCATACACAGACAGGAACTGGAACAGCGATGAGACCGCGGGACAGCTGTGGAAGGTGTTCTGAGGGGACCGCAAAGCTGCAGAGGTAGGTGGGGGAGGGCCGCGGGAGGGGCTTGCAGGCAACAGAAGGAAACAGGAACCAGGCCAGGAGGACTTGTCTAACAAAGGGCGAGTCCTGGGTTTTAGCATAATAAATACAAATGTCTCATGGAGCACGAGAAGGGGAAAGAGTAGAAGGAGGCAGAAGCTGAGTGCGCACACAGATTTCAAGAATCTTCTATCCTCTTTACGTACACAGGCAGCCAAGAGCTGACAAAGAAGAGCGGTCTAGGCCTGCGAAGATACAGGAAGTGAAGCCTGTACCTGGAACCTTGTAAGATAACTGACAGGCAGTGTAGTTTTGATTTCTAGCTCAGTATCCAAAACAGATTCAGGCACTTGGGTCTAGGATCCGACGTCCATCAACTTTCTGCGTGATTTCAATGTGGCTTCCTATCACCAATCAGGGACACCACAACCAGCTGGAGGTCACTGGTCCAGCACACAGTCTCCGTGGTCTGGAGTCTTCCCCTATAAGGCTGCTGCCTTTGGTTCGCTTGAGAAGGTTTTCAGTGAAACCGGAACAGCAAAGTGACACATGGTGAAAACAAGCAGGGAAGCAGGTGTGCGTCTCAGCTGCAGAGTTCGTGCTCAGCACATGCTGGTCCATGCCCAGCACTGGACACACACACACACACACACACACACACACACACACACACAATGCAACAAAGGGACTGGAAATCCACAAAGTAAACAAGGAATCCCAGCCACTCCTCCAAGCGACAGAAGGCAATCACCAAAACTAAATATACAACAATAACAGCAGCCGCAAAATCTCCTCAACCCAGGACCAAGCTTGTTGATCGCAGGCAGCAACCACTCTCTCCACAAGTTTTTAATAGTGAACAACAAACATAAGCAGTGACTAGAGACAGCCGAGTTCGTGGGAGTTTGGGTTGGTTTCTAGGAGACTAGGAAGGCAGGGCCAGGACCAGGAGTTTATCTCTAGATTGAGAAATCTGGTTTGTGTTCAGTCAAGACACCACTTGGGCTTAGCAGGAGGGTGTGAGAGGCAGCAGGTGCCGGGGGCAGGTGACAAGGAAGAGAAGCCACTCAGCTGCGTCCCCAGGGTCCCCAGTAGCAAAGGGTGATGTCAACACAATCCAAACACCCAGGAATCTGGGGTGGGGCTGCGCCCTGAGCAGGCAGCTTGAAGGACAGCGAAGGCAACAGGCGTGCACCACGCCTTGGGGGGCGAATGCGCTACCCTTTAGCGAGGGAAATCACAAGAGTTTTTTACAAGAGACAGTGAGGCTGGAGATGATGAAGCTTAGTGGTTAAGTGCTGAGTGGGGCACAGGGTTTGAGCCCCCAGAACATTGAGAAAAGGAACAATGGTATACATGTGCAAAAGAAGAGATTTTTGTTAGTTATAAAGGAGATTTCAAGAGCTTATGCATGACATTTTACAGATGGATTAAACCCATTTCTACACCTCACTCTGGTATATTATCTTGCTTTGTTCTCTTCAAATAATCATTGAAAATTTGCTTATTAGCTTTTTATGGCTGCTTTTAACCAAGGTGAATGTATCAGCCAACTTGCCAGAGACAGTTCCATTTCTTGCCTTTTTTCTTGAGACAGGGTCTCGATATGCAGTTAAGGCTGGTCTTGAACTCACGGAGATCCTCCTGCCTCAGCCTCCTGAGTGCTGGGATTATAGGTGTACACCACCACAGCCCATACAATTTTACTCTTGAAAATGGTCTGGATAGAGCAATAAATTATAAGGACATTCTTTTTATGTGTGTGTGTGTGGTACTGGGGATTGAACTGAGGACATTGTACTTGCCAGGCAAGAGGACATTCTATATATAACTCTCTAGGATATTATTAGCTTAACTTTATTTTTATTTATTTATTTTTTTAATATTTATTTATTTATTTGTGTGTGTGTGTGTGTGTGGCCAGCTCAGCCCACCAGGGGCTGGGGCTGGCTGGCATGTGGTGCCGGGGGATTGAACCGCAGTCCCTGTGCTCTGTTTAGCTTAGC